TTTCCAGATTTTGAGTTCTGATATGTACCCAGTTGTATATATTTTCAGTTCTTGTATTTCTCCAGTTTAGTATTTCCGAGGACGGAAATATTTTTAAGGGAGATAGATTGTAATAGCCCAGTTCTGTATTAATAAAAATGACAGTTTTTAGTTCCCAGTTGAACTATTTCTTTTTATTAATACTGCTCGTCTTGAGTTCCGAGCCCAGTTATCAGCTATTCAATCTCAGTTATTAATTCCGGTCCATTTATTTTAGTAATGGATTTTATTCAGTCGGAATTAGTTATTTCAGTTGACGAATAATCGAAACCGAGTTTGTTTCGATAAATCGTCCAAGTTTAGCCGTGTCCGGAACCGAGTTGTTCGGTCGCGAGTATCGCGCCTAGTTCGCGCCTAGCCAATTCTCGAGCCCTAGTTGTCTCGAGTCTTGTTCGAGCCCTAGCCATGCTCATAGCCTTACTTAGAATATTTCTAAGTATGAGATCATATTTGTCAAGCCTTGGATGTTATTCCCTCGGTCTAGTATACCGCACCTAGTTCGTGCGTGGCCCCGAGATCACTCGCGCCTAGGGTTCGCAAGTTCGGGCCAAAGCCGTGCCGAGTTCGCACCAAGTCATGACCAAGTATTGAGGGGATTTTCCTAGGTTTGGTGGCACCTAAGTGTGGCCATTTTTCAGCCCTAGCCAAGGGTTAGCCTCGGTTCAAGTGCATTCCAAGTCGGGCCATGAGTCGCGCCCTAGTACCCGCACCCTAGCCTCGCGCGAGTCAAGTATGGTGGCCCAAGTCATGGCCAAACACCTTTGGAATTTTTCTAAGTATTATGCATCAAGATAGGATCATGGGCCATGTCATTTATGCCTTAGAAAGTCATTTTTCTCGGTCCAAGGTTTGTCCCGCGCCCAGTCCGCGTGCACAGGCCCGTTCGCGCAACCCAGCGCCTAGCCCAGGGCCGTGTGCAGCCCAGCTCGCGCCCAGCGCGCCCAGCCCAGCGCCAGCAGCGACAGCCCATCATTTGGAGCCCAATTCTTGAAATTCCGGCCCACTTCCTTCCATGACCCAATGCTGCGTGTATTAAGGACTTAATGAGGGTCATTTAGGGCTAAGATGTCCCTAAGAAAGTGTTAAGGAAGTCAGCCTATGATTAAGCCAAAGTGGAGCATGTGCTTGTGGAATATTTTATTCAAGTGTGTAAGGCATTGTCCCCCACTACCTCCTCCTCCACCTTGGGACCGACCAGACCTGCTCTCCATCATATTTTAATGCCTTGGTCAGTCAAGATGCCCCTGCAAACCCTCCAAGTTCGTGCAAACAGCCCCAAACCATGTCCCCATGCACATGTGATGTGTGTGTGTCTCCACTTTGAGCATTGTTTTCTCCGCCCATGCATTTCCCTTATAAGGCCACCTTCAGCTGAGTGTTAGAGCTCTTGGATACTCATAATTTTCGAGCATAACACTTAGCACATTGAGGGAAAACAAGAGAAAAACCGAGAGCAAGCCAAGGCAAGCCTAGCCGCGCGCGCGTGTGCCCCGGGGAAGAGGAGTGCTCGTGTCCAGCTTGTTCCAGCCTAGTTATCTCGAGGCTTATCATTATCCAAGCTTAGTTTGGATTTTTCTAAGTCTCTTGAAGCTATCCTCCTCAGCCATTCAAGCCCCTAAGTCGAGGCTAGTCTCCTAGGCCATTTGCGAGCCCGAGCAAAGGCCATTAGCACCATTCGCGAGCTCGAGCAAGGTTAGCTCGTGACTTTCATTTTTCCTAGCTTATTCATGATAAAATAAGATTTATCATGTACAAAAATGATGCCATGCACGAGAAGAATATGGAGATTTGGATTTTTGAAGATTTAAGCCCTAATTTCGTAAGTTATGGTACATGCATGATATGGCCGAGATTAGTATCTTAAAAATCCTCAAAAATCATGAGTATGACATGGTTAAAACAGTTTCATGCTTTGAGTTCATTTGTTCGGTCAATTTGTTAAGTGAAATCGAGCCATTTTCACCCCCGAACCTAAGTATATGTGCATGCATGTATTGACCAATGTTCTAGCCTCATTAGCCATGATTTTTGATGTATATCATTCGGCCCTAGGTCAATTTTCATGTTGAGCATGTTCATTTTTGTGCCCTAGGGTGGCCTCGTGCCTAATCGGCCCTATAAGCCCACCACCAAATCCAACCGAGGTCCCTCAGTGACTTTTGGCATTTTTGAGCATTTTATGTCATATTAGGTTGATTTGGTTCAGTAGTCCCCGGCAAAGTTGCCGGAAGTTTGGCAAAGGACCGGCTAGGGTCACCAGCCGCGCCAGTCGCGCGTGCCGTGCCCGTGCCGCGTCGCAGGGGCCAGGCAGTGCCCCTGTCCGTGCCCGCGCCTAGCGCTCGCGAGGCACCGCAGTCCCCAGTGCACGTGACAGCGCCCAGCCGCGCCTGTCCGTGCCAGCCCGCGAGGTCTCAGCGCCAGTCGCGCCAGAGCACCTCCGACAGCGCCCGGCAGCGCTGTCCCAGTGTCATGCACGCGTGATCCCGAGCCAGTCGCTCGTACCACGCGGAGTCGACCTCGGGTCGTGCCAGCAGCGCACCCGAGTGTCCAGTGCCGTGCTGTAGTGACCCCGAGTCAGGTCCAGAGGCCTCGGGACGTGCCCAGCAGCACGCCCGAGTAGTCAGTTAGCCCGGGACGTGCCCAGCAGCATGCCCGCGTGCCCAGGGTCGCCCGGTAGCACCCTGACAGCCCTAGCCGCGCCCGAGCCGCGCGAGTAGTGTCTGGCCACGTCCGTTCTCGCGCCAGTCGCACTCGGGTCGTGCCAGCCGCACGCCCAGTGCCCAGTCAACCCGGGTACGCGCCAGTTCCCGCGTCCCTCGTGCTCGACCGTGCCCAGCAGCACGCCAGCACACCCAGTGACTCTCGGTCGTGCCCAGCCGCACCTAGTGGCACCAGTCGTGCCAGGGCCCGTGCCAGCCGCACAGCCCGCGCCCAGCAGCGCCTAGTACCGTGCCCGGTCGCACCCAGCTAGTGCCCAGCGCCGTGCCATGGCCCCAGCAGGCCCGGCACGGGATCGAGCCCGGCCAGTCCGAGCAGCCCGTGACCAACCGGTCCAGTGTGACCCGGTGGTCCAACCGGGTCCGGTCCAGCCCGACCCGGTTCAGCCAGTTAGCGAACCGGCCGGTTTAGCCGGCGGTTCGAGTCCGTTTTGGTTCGTGATTTTCGGTCCGAGTCTTATTCCGAAATTTAAGTATTTTTCCGAGCCAAACCAGATCAGTTAAGCATATCAGTATTATTTCCGGACTTAGAATTATTTCTGTGAACCCTTAGAGCGTTCCTTTATATCCGGATGAGTAATCTGATAGAGTAGAGCATCCTAGCATATTTTTGAGCATATGACGAGCATAGTACTTAGTATATTTGTTTGCTTATATTTTTATGTAGCTTGAGGAGTCAGCTACCAGCACAGCCGCACTTACTCATTTTCAAAACCGATCAGGTGGGGACCCAGTCTGGGTTATACATTGAGTTTAATAGTCGATATCACGTTCAGGTATGTATATGAGTTTTATCCACTTTGGGTTAAGGCCAAGTTTGCCTTCCCTAAGTTCTGGTGGTGGCCCAGTTTGCCCTAGTTATACCATCAGAGTGTGCACACGGTTACCGGCCAGAGTGTTCCGGGAGTTACCGGCCAGAGAGTTCCGGGAGTTACAGTTTACTTATATATACCAGTTTGTGATATCATTATTAATATTGCTGTTTACTTTAGAATGGGTTTTTATGGAGTACAAGTGGACCGTACTCACCCCCACTTTATATTTTCAGATGGCAGGGTCGGCGGGCAGGCGTGAGTCAAGCTGTGGTGGTGGTGGTCGTGAGTTCCGCACGAAAGCTGTTCCCGGGACATTTGTTTAAACTGTTTGTAAAATAAATAATTCCACGCATTTCAGACTTCCGCTATGCTTGTGTTTATTTTCGAACATGCATGATGCTATTTTCAGACTTAAATAATTCTACCCGGTTCGCCAGTACGAACGGGTTCAGAGTTCAGACTACTATGCATGATTCGTAAAAATATAAACCTGAATTCTTTTAGTCTAAACCAGTTGTTAGACCTAGGTTAAAGAAATGGGTTTTTAAGCAGAAAAGTCCTTAGCAGCATCCCGAGATAGTTTGCAAATGATTTCGAAAAATTTATAAGCGTTTTCGAAAGAGTTTAAATTTGCGAAAAATTGGCCCTAGTTAGCGGGGTGTTGCAAGTTTTACCCCGTGCATTTGCACGAAAAGCGATATAATAGAAGAGAAAGTAATTAAAAATATAGCATAAAATAAAAATCATACAACAAAAAAAAAAAAAAAATTTAAAAAAACAAATCTAAATATTACTAAACACTCTTCATATGCAACCGTCGTGGTTTTTCTATCATCAGATTCCCTATCACAACAAATCATTATCGTTAAACTTCTTCGACTCGTGACTCTGGAATTTGATGTTTCAAAATATTTGATGTATCTTTGTAATATCCGAAAAAATATTTTTTTATTATTGTATGACTGCAATAGAAAATGGAGATATTTGTAGTCATTCTTAATTAATTGTGAAATATATATTTATATAATACCAAAAAATATATAGTATTAATATAAAAATAAAAATATTTTGTATTTCAGGACATAAAAAGACGTTACAGAAACAAACACTATCCAAAATGAGATATGTCGAAATAAATTGTGTAACGAAAAGTTATTGTTATTAAATGGTGTACATATTTTTATTAAAATGAACGCCTATTTTTATTAACTGAACTCATATTATTATTAATTATTGTCTGAATAAAATTTATTGAAATTTCTCACCAATTATATATATAGATTATTTTTTTAATAAAGCATGGTACATATGAAAAGTATTTAAAAACATATAAATAGTCATTTGTACCATTTATACTTTCTTATTGACATTTTAATATATCTTCCATGCGTTTGAAGTTTGAACAACATACTAGTTTTGTAAGAAAGTGATGGCCGATGGGATGATAAAAGAGTGGGTAAATGAAAAGCCAACTCCCAACTTAAATTGGGGAGGTATCTGCATTTCATGGACATAGTATAGAATTCACGGTATAAGGGTGTGTCCTATCTCGCCTCATTGACCCACCATTGTCCCCAAACCCCCAAATTCCTCAATCCATACTCATCTCTCCTAAAAACCTGTATAAATCAATTTTGCCCCCAAAATTCCAAGTGCCAAAACCCTAGTTCTCCTGCCTCGTGATCTTTATGCATGAGTTTGCTATGACTGAAACAGCAAGTATGAAGGATCCGATCAAGTCCTTCGATGTGTTTGATTTCAAAGAGGAAGATGAGCTTCCTGTGAATAATATTGCTCCTAATTTACGGTATCCTCATGCTCTCGATGGTAAGGATACTATTCATGTGGGTGGTAGTGCAGCTGTTTCTAAGTAGATTTTTCAGTTGGATGGTCTGTGTGTTTAACATTTTCATGTTTAACTGGGTTTGCAAAATTTGAGCTGAGAGTTACCTTCTTTTGGGTTTTACTTTATAATTTTGTCCAGGAACGATAACCATGGTGCTGGGTATCATGTATTTGATTGTTTTCTCTTAAAGTAATGAACAGCCATTCTGTTACTCAAAGATAGGGGAAGATATTGAGATTGCTCGGCAAGTCTGCAATAGATATGTCCTATAATTTCACCATGGATTAGGGAAGGGAAGGTTAGATAATGTGTGCATTTAGGGTTATTCATTCTTCTACTATCAGCTAAATTATTATATACTACATTACCTGTTAACTTTTGTCAGTTTGGTAGGTGATAGGAAAGAATTATTAGGTGATGCACATTCCTCTTAAAATGAGATAGATTTTTGTTTCACTGTTGTGCTTGCGTGTTAGTTGGGTACACTTAAAATCTTGGTGGGCTTTCCGAAAGCTGAGCTTTATCGAGAGCCTGTAACTCTCGGTTATCTCTTGTTACAAATGGGCTGTATTTACTTTATAATATAGTTAGTTCTCATTGTATGTTTATTTTATCCCGTGGAGTTTAGCTGTAAACTTGCACGGTTTGACCACGTAATAACAAGATTTCATGGCTTCCTTCTGATATTCATGATATAAATTCGTAAGGGATTTGATGTAGTTGCCAGCAAACTTGCTTATTTTGGAAATGATATAGCTTTCCTTTTGAGATCCATGGTAATCTTTCTTGGGTTTTTATTTCTTTTTAGTTTCCAGAAACGAGAGTAAGTTGAAGGAGAATGATATTGCCATTTGTGGGGGCGCCAATGTTGATTTTGGCAACAATCGTGATGCTGCTGATTCATTTGCACCTTCTCAGACTGATGATTTTGCCAAGGAGACTCCTGAATGGAACCATGTTCTGCACTGTAGTTTTGAGATCCACAATCAAGCAAAAGAAAATAAATCTGTAATTATTGAGTCCTGCAGCGTTGTTGCTAGTGTGGAATGTGGTTCAACCCTTGGTGCTGCTCTGCAGTTGGAGGATAACTTAAATGTTGCCATTCCAGAATCTTTTGGCAGTGTATTTAATTTGCACTATCAGTTTATTGGTTTCCTTAATAGATGAAGTGGTTTCTGATGCTAGGTTCCCATTTTAAAATGATATGCAGGACAGATCAGTTCAGTTGGCTTCAGATGCTGATGAAAACTTGATTGAAAGATCTCCATCTGCTTTCGCAAACAATTTTGGTTTGATTTGCCAAATCTTATTTCCACTGAGCCGTCACTCTTTTATTTTACAAATGGTGCAGTTGTTTTAATCTTGGATTCTCATGGAAGTGGTAACATTTTCTTATCATATTTTGTTGCTCTGTCTCAGCTCCTTGTGATGGATCATCGTCTGGCAACTGTGGACCATTGTCTGGTAACTGCTCCCACAAATGGAATTCAGTAAAAAAGGTTTACAAGTTCCCCCAAAGCTGTGAATAAAAATTATAATTTTCATCCTTTCTGTTGAATGATATGATAGGACCCCTTGGGTCACCAGAAACTGTTGAATAAATATCAAGAATTGGTGTGATTTTTTTCCCTGGTGTATTACAGTTACGCATGTTAAGTGTCTGATCTGGAACCTTTTATTAAGATAACTTCCATTGAATGTACTTCTGCAAGGCTTGTTTGATACGGTTTATCACAAAAGGAAATGGCACGCGGGCAAATTTAAAGAAAGCCTTTAATTATAAGAATCATGAAACTAGTTACTATATTTACTCTCTGTAATTGTAACTCATCTTCACAATGATAAATGATCTCTAGGATCTTGACCCTTCTTTACTAAGTGTAATGATAAAACTTTGCGTTTAATACATTTTCTTTAATGAAATTTGAGGAAGACCTGTTTTAGAATTTATGTTACAGAAGCTATCCATAGATGAATAGTGTAAGCTTTTGCTTTTTATCTTATTTTGTGAAAAGGATTTAGTTTCTACCTTTTCTGCAATGAAATTTGAGGTAAGCAAGATACCGAAGGGAAAATTTGCTCATCATATTTCCGTAAGTGACCAGAAGACCTGGTTAAGAATTATTACGAGAAGCACATGCTGAATAGCTTATGATAGATGAGTGTTGTTAGCTTTATTGTTATCTTATTTTTTGAATTTAACTTTGGTTTTGTAGCCATCTGGTGTGGGTTAGAGTGTTAATGTCATATTATGTCATTAGTCCGGATTCTAACTTCACTTTACAATTAGACGATTTCACCATGGGTGTTTTATCTACAACACTGTTATATCAAAGATGATCTTTTGTAACCGATCAANACGATCAAAACAGAGATGATCTTTTGTAACTACTGAGAGGTGATAACTGTGTCCTATTGAATTGCCATGTAATAGTTATATCTTGTGTCATTATGGGGTTTGAACACACTAAAATAACCTAGACAGTAGGAAGTATTTGCTTCTAAAATCAAAAGTTTCATAGAGGATGTGAATCAGCATTATGTTGTTCCTTTAGTCTTTTCTCTTTGTGAAGGTATATAATCAAGCACTGCTAGAATTAGAATGCAGTACATGAGGTTTATTCTTATATCTTGTAGGTTTTATGATTTAGCTATGCACAGCTGGTTGAGTACTAGTAACATATGCTAAGTCACTGAAATATCTTTGGCATGCATGTTCTATTGTTGTTTACTTGTTTACTATTCTTCCTAATTGTCCGCAGAACGAAAGAGATGGAATTGTTTTCTACCCCGATTATGTAGATTATTGTGGCACACATTATCTGGACTCAGTGGTGAGCTTTTCTCAAAGATTTGTTGAAGCTAGAAGTAAATCCGCTTACAGTAACGAAAGAATATTTCAAATTCGTTTGGAAATCGAAGATATTGTCAAAATAGAGTCACAGTGGAGTGCTCGGGTAAGTAATAGATGCTGTTGGACCAAATTTAATATTTTGCACATAATATGAAGAATAAAATACATTAGGATTGATGGCTTTTATACAGTCCGAGGCAGGCACCATAAGTATCTATTCTATCTCAAAAGATGGAGTGCAAGGCGGCTTAATTCACAATGCTTCAGGTTGGTTGGTCTGAATGATCTTTTTACTCCCTGATGAAGCTGCTCAATGACTTGTAGTTGTGTGTAATATCCACTGTTATCAAATGGTGGCCTTGGCGGTATGGCGTGGCGGACTTTTGGCAAACCGCCATGCTAAATTTGTGAAGGATGGCGGTTATGGCGGGATTTTGGCCTGCCGCCTTTTACCGCCATCCACCATTATTAACATTGGTAATATCTTGTAAATAATGTCTGCATGGTTGAATTTTTGTTTCCTGTTGTCTGAATATGGTAAGTGTTGCAGTTCATTAAGGTGTTCACTGTGGGTCGTGTACTGAGTGAGATCTCCTGTAGTTTTTGAAACATTCTGCATGATACTAAAGCTCACTCCGATGAATTATAATTTGCATTTGTGGAGCATTAGATTTTAAACTTTTTGGGACATGCTGATGTTTCATGTTTAGTTTGGAAACAGTATTAATGCGTCCTTTTCATTTATCATGAGATGTAATTTCATAGCTATGTTCCAGTGCATGTAGGATCATTGAGTAAGGTTTCTTTTAAGGAAACTTCATCGTGCACGAGGAGTATTTTTGGAAGTAATCTACTCATCGGCTTGAAAGCAAGTCTATTGTTATTCCTGAAGTTTATTGAATTAGTTTAGGCCAGGGTAATATCAAAACAGTAACAGTAACTTCTATAATTAGATTAACATGTCAGATTTTATTTATGGAGAGTTGCATTTCAGAAGATGATGATTGAGACACATCTTTATCTAATTGATATTGGAACATCATACTTTCAGAGTAGATAATGATCAGCGAGAGCGAAATTTGTGTACTTAACTTGATATGTTTGGTGGATTTTTGTTTTGCTCTAATAAATGTTCTCGTATCTGCTTTGCTGTCAGGTCTTCAGGAGTTGAAATTTCCTGCTGTTGACTCGGACTGGTATCAGAAACAGGAAGCAATTGGATCTCTGGACATGAGATATAAGGCGCTGTGGAATGTCCTGCTTGAGTGAGTCCTTTTAGACACAGCCCCCACAACAGAATACATTCCATTTTTCCGTGAATGAACATTTAGCGNCAATTGCTTTTGTTATTACCTTTGTTGGCATCTGGAGAATTCATGATTGTAAGTAAGCATTTTGTAATTTATTCTAATTCACATTTAATTTATTCTGCTACATATTTAAGCAATTACCTTGCATTCCTGCTGAAAAAAAAAAATCTTGAAGAGAGGATTCAGTGACTAAAAGAGAAATGAAACACTACTTTTGTAGACTTCATTCAAGTGGCAGTATAGAATTTTCAAGCAATTGTCCTTAAAAAATCACACCTGCATAATGTGTTTCGCAATTTTATATCCAGTTCAATTATATTCCTTTTTTCACATCAATTTCCTAATCCATCTAGAACCTATTCTATCAAGTAACTTATGCTTTATTCACACAAACCCAATGAGACATTCACATACAAGATTGTCATTTTTCTCAAGCAATTCTCTCTTTGAAGCTTTTTCTGTTGTTTGAATAATATTTTCCGGTTTCTCCTTAACTTCCCAGCTTAGAGGAATCTCTTGTGTGATTAACCGATAGCATTTTAAGTTGTTGCTCTGCATTGTTGTTAGGACTAAAGTTAACGTGTGTAAGAATGTCTTTTGATACTGCATGCATTAACAGTTGTGATTTAGTTTTCTAAACTTTCATAATTTCATATGATTTAGCCTCTTGGTTTTGATGTCTAGTTGGGCAACCGGGAGATAACTTAGTGTATGCTTTGTATTCTGTACCAATGGTAACTAAGTGCACCTAGCTATTTGGCTCTTCAACAGCTATGATCATACGAGTTTATTTAAGTTGTTACAATTCTGATGATGTGTTTTTGGTTTCATCTGAAGCACTGGGATGGAAAAGATTTCACCATTGCCTGAAGGAAAAGAGATGAGACGAACAAGAAGCTATTTTCCCAAGTGAGTAATGTCCCACCTGCAGACTTCTGTGGTTCTTTCCTTGGTTATATACTTTTATGCAATATCATCTAAGGTCTTGAATTCATATGCTCTCTGTTCCCCCGTTTTACCTCTTCATTTCCATGGATATCCTGGGTCTACTTTTATCTGTCATGGCGTTCCAATTACCTTTCATGTTTAATATCGAGGTCAGTGTATTTGCATTACCTACTGCTTTGAGGTTTCTGATCTGTGAGCTACTGGTTAAGCCACTTGGCTTGGTTGGAAAAGCTGGCTGACTCAGATATGTTATAGTTTGCTGTACTTTTAAAGAATGAAATTATATATTTAAATTTATCAAGTAGTTTCTGTGGATTAATTATTTTACTTTTTGAGATTTTAGCCCAGTATGGTTGTTTATCATCTAGCTTCACTTGTTTCTTTTAGAAAATATCTACCTTCCATCCGCATATTACTTCCTCTCAGGTCTCAGCTGGTCAGCTGCCCCTTGTTCTCTCTAGTCCTTCAGTTTTCATACTCCATGCCACTTATACTCCATTTTCACTGCTTTAATCACCTCCACCACCAAAACTTCTATCAAGTACTCTTCTCTTTCTTGGATCTACTCGCTCCACTTTTATAACACCTTGTTAATATTCACCACACCAAAAAAGAATGAAGGATTCACTGAGGTGAACAGCTGCGGTTACCGATTTGGTTGAGTCTTCGCAGCTCTTTATCTTATTGCACATTTTGTTTGGCCGATCAGTGTTATTCTATTTTATCTCAAGCCTTCTGTTTCTTCTGGATGATTTTAAACGTGGAAAAGTAAACCAAAATTTTATTTGTATCTAACGCTACAGTGTAATGATATTTAATTTGTGGAATAAATATATTTAAGAAAATTTGAATATTAATGCTATTCCAGAAAGATGTAAAATATAAATAGACAGAAATCAGGATCGTGCAAATGATACTCATTTTATTAAGATGGCTGGTAAACTTCCTTTCAGATTCATATGTTCCACTGAAATTAGTAGTGTTGGTGGCAGCTTACCTAAATTTATACCAGCTCTATTGATGAGTCAACTGAAATTCTGTTTGCGGCTTGTACAGGTCTAAGTGTACGTGTGTGAAAGTTTACTCTTCCTAGTTGGATAATTTAGGATCGAAGAACTTTGTGATTGTTATTGGATGTCACATGTCGGGCTGTACAGCTGTAATACGTCATAGTGTCGATGATTAACTTGAGATTGGTCGGGGAGAATCTAATTGATGGATTATTTTCTGTTTGAATTATAGATTCAATCATACGCTGTTTAAACATGCCTGTCTATAGTTTTTCTTTTCTTAAAAAATATTATCACCTGTTCTCTTCTTTTCCCACCACTAGATGTTATTGGAGAAGTATTAGGTTCGTTATGTTTTGACAAGGAGATTTACCAAACTTACCGTTAGCATCCCAAGAAACTATGCTGAACTTTAGAAGCAATTTAAAAGTAATGATGTAATCATGAAACATAGCTTCTTGTTGGTCCAATTTTTTGATAAAGGCTCCTTTGTAATGCACAGATTTGATCAGCCTTTTGAAGAGGTGATTTATCCAAAAGGGGATCCTGATGCTGTTTCGATTAGTAAGAGAGATGTTGATCTCCTACTGCCTGACACATTCGTCAATGATACTATCATTGACTTTTACATTAAGTAAGTTAATCTACGCTTATAGATTTCTTCTTGTGCTATTTTTTTTAGGTGCAAGGAAAATATATATACTACTGGATATGTTATAGATGTAAAGTGCAATCGGAAAATAGTAACTTTTGATTAACTTTGCTTTTGTATTTCGAATTATCATGCAATAAAATCATGATATGTTATGGATAAATTTGAATTGGTTTTGTTAAATTCTTTTATCCTCTTGACGTTAAACAGCATTGACAATGGGCTAATGCAAATTGTTGTGTGATCATTTTCCACATGAATTTCCAATCATTCGTTGTTCCTTCACTTGGCTGGCTTATTGCAGATATTTGAAGAGTAGGCAAAATGAGGAGGCTAGGTCTAGATTCCACTTTTTCAATAGCTTCTTTTTTCGAAAGCTGGCTGACATGGATAAAGATCCATCCAGTGCTTTTGATGGCAAAGCAGCTTTCCAGCGTGTTCGTAAATGGACAAGAAAAATAAATTTACTTGAAAAAGACTTCATTTTTATTCCTGTCAACTACAAGTAAGGAATTATACGTAGCCCCATTTGAGTTATTTCATATGGCTTCTTAATACCATCACCTTGTACGAAGATATGGAGAGTTGTAACTTACTATACGATGCTATTGCAGTTACCACTGGAGTCTTATTGTAATTTGTTACTTCGGTGAAGTTTCCAGCTATGAAGGCAAGATACTTTTGATTCTGGACTGTCATGTGAAGTCTTTCCGCATCTCTTACATTGATCTAATTCGTTCTTGACCATAATTTAGGTATTGAAAATGGCAAGACATTAAGAGTACCTTGCATATTGCATATGGATTCTCTCAGAGGAACTCATGCAGGCCTCAAAGATCTTTTACAAAGGTATGTATTTCACCTGCTTAAATAGGAACAGTGCACGGTAAAATAACATGTTTATTGTTAGTTTGTGAGTGTGGGGCTGGTGTACCAGTAGTTGGCTTAATGTAGATGTTTTAAGCATTACAAAGATAAAGCAGCACCCGTTTGTTTCCTGGGTTGGTAAAGCGTGGAGTTCGTTATGTCAGCTTCCATGACTCTCCATGTCCCAACACTTGCTTGAAAAATGTTCACGCATAATCACAATAGATGGAAGCATTTAAAAATTGAATTTTGAACAATAGAAAATGCCATCTCAAAGTCAACGCCCATGTGAAATTTAATTCTACCCTTAGGATCTGTGGTGAGCTAAAATGTACCATCACTTAATTGACATTTTTATGTGTACCTGTGTATTTCTAAAATGTTATGCTCTCATTTGGTAACTGTTGTACACGTTCTGTTATCTATTTTCTTTCTAGTTTCAAGTTTATTCAGAATTCTGCTTCGAACATTGTACTTAAACTTTGTCACTTTGAAATGACAGTTATTTATGGGAGGAATGGAAAGAAAGACAGAAAGAAACATCTGAAGATATGTGTTCAAGTTTCAGAAACCTTAAGTTTTTGCCCCTCGAGGTATGTTTAAAAGAGATAATTATAAACTGATCATTTTGCATGCTCAGGAATTTTGTAGAATGTCCGAAAGGAACTCTCTAAGCATATTTTGAGTAATTAAATAACTTGGTGGAAAATAGTACTCATCTCTCAACTGGAAATTGACACATGCAAATACGCAATGGACTTTTGTCCGCCTTCTATGTCACAAAAGGGAATGAGGTCACCTTACTTTCCATTTTGTACTTGTTTCCATTTTTTCCTTCTTAATATGGAAACAGGTATTGAAGTGAAGAGCCTTGACAATAATGACAAAGACAACAAAATCAATTGTCTTAATGTCTCCTCTCAATTGCACATTGCCACTTTGAACGACACTTTCTCATTCTGAGTGCAACTAGATATAGGACTTGGTAGGAAAAACATGTCAATTAATGTGAGTTCATTACATAAGGCACCGTTAATTGTCTTATTGTGAGTTCATTACACAAGGCACCGATAAATGTCTTATCATTTGAATTTCGCGATTATGGAACCTTAACAATATTCTGTTTCTGATTTCTGATATGTGGGATTGACTTCAGTTGCCTTACTTTGCAGCTACCACAACAACCAAACTCATATGATTGTGGCCTTTTCTTGCTTCACTATGTTGAACTTTTCCTGGAGGAAGTTCCTGATAACTTTAGTGTTTACAAGATCACGCCATCCTCGAAGTTTGTAAGTTCATGGTTTATATATAGCTCTGCTCATTTGTGCTGTATGGATCGATAGACTGATGATATATCCTGATTAAAAGTTACAACTGCTCAAAGTTATTACAGATGAGATAATACATTGCTTGACACGTTGGAATAAATCTGTTAGTCATTCATATCAGTGTTGCAAGAACCTTTAAAAACGCATAGGTACCCATGAATGAGAAGCAACGTGGTTGATTTTTATTAATTGATCTGAGCTCCATAATCTTCTTTGTCTGCTTATTATTTATCCTTCCAAATCCTGGAGATCCAAATATTTTTCCTTGAGATTGATTTTATATGATTAGCTTATGCAATTTCTCGGTGCATCTTTCTTTTTTTCTTTTCCTTGTTATGTTCTTTTCCTTATTCTTGCTTTGTTTTCATTCCTACTTTGTAGAGCTTACTGGCCAACAGATGTCTGTTTGCTCATTCCGTGTGACATTTTAATGTTTGATGTCTAAATATTGGTGCTGCAGCTACAAGCTGATTGGTTTCCTCCTGGTGAAGCTTCCATGAAACGAACACATATTGAGAGGTTGATTAATGATCTTCTTGACACTCAGTCTGAAGATTTTCCTGGCGGGAGTGGAATGCATGCTTCTCCTGAGCCGAATGCTACTCTTGGCCATGCCAATGGAGTTGAGTTTTCTATAAAATCCAGTATTAGTGCTCAAATTGAGAGCTCATTACTACAAGTAGACCCGACAATTGAGATGACTTTATTACCAGCTTCATCTACAAGGGGTACACAGTGTAACAGAGCTTCTGGAGTGGTTTTAAAGGAGTTGTTTAAGCAAGCATCTGGTCCGGAATCACTTAGTGATGCACCTTGGGGAGCTTTGGAGAGCGGACAATCTCTTCACGAGTTTAACAGGCCTGATCCTTTGACAGAGGTACTTCAAATATGGAACATTTTCTCAGATATGGCATTCTTGCTTTTACTGATGTAGTTGTCGGTAATTTGGATTGGTACCTATTTGCATGTTTAGCTAAGATTTCATGAATGTGTGTTTTACCTGTGGGAATCGACAGTGTAATTGGTGCCTGAAATTACGATTCTATCACAGCTATGAAGTTTTTCTTGTATATTACTAATATAAATTTTTCATTTTAGTGGAATGTTATAGTATGTCTCTGAGCTTATAGTATGATTATTTAATTATTTATGCCTGCAGGAAGCTAACGAGTGTCTTGCACAACAAGAATTAGAAGAACCCGTCTTCCAGTCCATGGATGATGAACCCGTCTTTACTTACTCGTCTGAAGATTTTAGATTAGACACATTTAGCCAACCCGTACACAACAATGTCTGCATGTCTCCAGTGACGTCAGGTTCTGAATCCGATGATATAGTAGAAGTAGAAGTTGATAACAAAAATTGGCAATCAGTCATGGTGCTTGGCCAATATGGCGAAATAGATAGCCATAACAGATGCTCATCGCCTGAGAAAATCGAGCAGCCTGATTCTGAAAAAAATGCCGAGATAAACAACTCAAATGGCGATGAATCATTTATCCTGAAGGAGTTTTGTCCCGAAGCAAAACAGATGCATGATGAGGGCCCGTCTCACGAGAGCTTGCCCGTGGACCCTAGTTTGGCGTCTGGTGACAAGTTGGATGCCTTGGAGGGTGTTATCCAGTGTGATGGGGAGCACCCACATAGATTGGGTCACGATGTGCTGGAATTGGGTGATGAGGAACGTACTCCCAAAAGGATGAGGATTGCAAGAACGGACGATAATGCTAACAATTATTTGTCTGATGATCTGCATTTGTGAAAACTAGTTGGTGAAACTATATGCCGCAACTCTCTCTCTCTCTCTCTCTCTTTTTGAAAAAAAAAAAAAATAGCTTTAGTTGTCTGTAGGTGGCTAAAATGAGTAAAGATGCTGGTGTTGTCAACTGGTTATATCTCTATGTGCTACTAATGATAAGTGTGGTGTAGATTATGAGGGTGTAGATGTTGAAAGCTTATCTATCTGGCTGTCATGTTCTAATGGAGTAAGAAATTTTAGTAATGTGGAAATATGTGGACAGTAGTTTATTTAGGTGTTGTTCCCCAACGTATCCTCCCTTTAGACCATCTCGTTAAATTTTTCCAAATGTCAATTAAATATCGTTAGTGTATACCACGTAAGATGAAGGGACAATTTTATTTTTTTACATTGATGTATCAAGTTTTTCACACTGTCCGTGAAGAATTTAACTTCACCTTAGAAAATGTGAATGTTGTGCGAATGATTCGCATAATTGTTGCATAAATGTCGCATATTTATACTGGAAAGCACGAACGGTTAAGCAAATGTCTTTGCATTTTAAATTTCGTATAATGTCATTTGCACAATCATTGTATAAGTATTGCATAATGCCTTTTGCACTTTTTAAGGTGAAAAAATTAATTTATAATTCAACAGTGTGAAAAACTCATTCGATTTGAAGATTCGGAATGTAAATAACTATTTCTCTAAGATAAATGTAAAGTTCACAGCTACAAAATAAAAAAAGATTAAAAAATCTCTACAACCACAATGTAGACAACTAATGTTACTATTCACATTGCCCAAAAGAAACAATAATAATATAATGCTACAAATCATTTATATAATGAATGACACATATTTCACAACAAGCTTATATGTTCACTTCTTTTGTCGGGATTTCGCCTTCTCTCCATCATAAGTTTTTTCTAATTTAACTCCACACATTAAATCAAAATTTGGCTTGTTAAGAATACATAATATAGTCCCTTTTGTGGAGTATTTTTTCTTCATCGTTTTGGAGTTTTTTTGTAAAGTTGTTCCTTTCATGGAGGAGGAGCCTCTTATGCTAAGTGACTCCTCTTTGGGCTTTTTATTTATTTATTTATTTTTTATTTTTTTGTTATTTAACAGTTAGAATGATTTTGTAACCATTTGGTTACCAATTGTACCTCATTTGAGGTTATATAATAGTATTTGCCTTATGAAAAGAAAAAATAATTCATAATAAAAAAAATTCAATCAATGTGCATTGAGTTTATTTAATTTCTTAAGTTTATTTAATTACTGGGTAAGAAGTTAAATGAGTTTCATTTAGTTGTGGAGTGGGTTAGTGATTGGTGATTAGAGTCGTTAAAGCGTAGGGCATCCATACAAAAATGGGATGTTGGATTACTGAAATGGTAAGTCGAAATACTTATTTTGTACTAATATGATTCAATAAATTGGAACCCGTACAAAATTGGATACACATTCCTTTGAACTTACATGTTTTGCCAAGGAGAAATTCTAACTAACGCACACAACACCCACATACACATACTTTTAGTGACCCTACCCTGCTGCCCCGTGTTAGAAATTTGAATTGGCATCATTCGAATTATTTTTTATTTCTAATTATATTCTTTGTAGGTCACTTGAAAAGGAAGCAAGACAAAATAATGGGTAGTTGATTTAATTATTAAGTTCCTTTCTATGTTTATTTATTTATATTAAATATAGATACTTGTGATTTATTTTGTTATTTATTGTAGAAACACGATGCATGAAGGGTTGGAGGGCGACACTAAGACAAGAACGTGATTTGAGGATATATGGAAATAAAACCACTTAGATATAAAACCGTGGGGACAAGATTCTCCAAACGTCGCATATATGAAAGTACTGTTTCTACAGGATTTCTGAACTTCCAAATTAAAGGCGGTTGAGGAGATCATGGAAATCAAGTAACGAAGGAAACATTCCACACATGAAGATTCTGAAGACACTATACCAAAAGAAGATGTATATATATTCAGAATTCTTCATCATTGTATTATATTGATTGAGAGAGAGAGAGAGACAGAGGGAGAGATATATTTTCCTGACTTTTAAAGAGAACTTTTAAGAGCTTAGTTTGCATTTTTTTTTCATAGTTTTAGTTAAACTTTTAGTTAGTGTTCTTACGAGCTAAAAGTTAAATACTTCACTTCTTTATATTTTTCTACGGCACTTGGGATAAGTGCTTGTGTACCTGTGGAGGGATTCACAATAGGTTTTGAAGGCCATGAGTTGGCCATAAAAGTAACTAGGAAACTGTAATGTAGGAACAGTTAGATCAGAAGGGATCTAGTCTAGTAAATATGTACTTCGCTACGTGTGCATAATCATTTTTCAGTGAAAAGAGTTCTAAGGGAAGCGGGAGGCTTCTTGAAGAACAATTTTTGTTTACTTGTGCTTCTATTTTATATGAGTGTTTCTACATACTGCGTACTCAATCAGTCCTCCATACATTTCAATTAGCAACAAAGCAGGTACCTGTTCTAATCACAAGTTAAAGACAATGGTCTGTGGGACTGAGAACGCTGACCCCCGAATCCAGCTCAATCACTCGACCTCTTATTTGGATGGTACGAACTATCCATATTGGAAGTCAATGATGATGTTATTCCTTCGATCCCTTGGCAAAGGAACCTGGAGCATTGTGGAACATGTGTGGACACATCCTCAGATGGCCAAAGCGCAAAAAGATTGAACTGGTGAAATTAAAATCGTGTTAAAATCTCGTGATCTATGGGATGACAAAGACAATGCTCAAGAAGAAGCCAATTTTCGAGCACTCTACGCAATTATGTCGGCCGTGGACGCCACTCGTCAAAAAATGATTATACAATGCACTACGACAAAAGATGCGTGGAAGACTCTTGAAAGACAGTTTGAATGAACAGATTCCGTGAGGAACTCGAAGCTACAAATTATGTCAAAATTTGATGATATTCGCATGATGGATGACGAGACGATTGTCAGCTACTATGCACAATTTTGCAATCTTGTCAGACAAAGCTCGATGTGAGGAGCGAATTTTTTTGAGATGAGGCAAGTCCAAAAAATAATGAGAACCTTACCCAAGAGGGCTTAGGAGAAAATTGTAACCTTTGAAAGTTTTATGACAGTTAAACCTCTTGGCATTGATGATCTCCTTGGAGACCTCAGAACCTTGGAGATCAGTTGCGAATATGACGTAGTAAAGACCAAAGGGATAGCTCTGAAAATGAGTGTTCCTTCACAAGAATATGATGAAACTGATGAGGTTCTTGAACCAGAGGCTGAAGAGGCATATGCTTTGCTTACCAAGACCTTTGATCGTATGCTGAAGAATGTTCGTAAAGAGAAATTACAAAGACAAAGTTTCTCTGATGGAGGTAAGAACACAAGTCAACAGAAGAACCGAAGGCCTAACACTCCAAACCAAAACTCACAAAATTTCACTAATCTGAAAGAGAAATTTGAAAAGGACCAGTGCAGAGAGTTCCAAGGCTTTGGTCACTTTAAGAAGGAGTACCCCAATTTCAAAAGGAAGAATAAGACTCAACTAGCAACATGAGATGATAATGAGAAACCAAACAACAAGACAACAATAATGAACATATCAATAATATGGTTGTGTGTCCTGGCTTGAACTTCAAGTGTCTCACCTCCTCTCAGCACTCGTCAAATGCTGGAGCAGAAAACAGTTCTTACACAGTTAATGTGGAAAGTGGTTCTGATGGCTCAATTGATTTTGTTGATCCAACTAATTTGAAGATTTTAAGCGACTTTTAAAAGTAAAGGATTGTTGGAGACTTTTTTTATCAAAACATAAGGAAAAAGTCCTTGCGAAAATCTCACCAAATTTGTGAGATTTCACGTGAAGACTCTTCTATCTCTTCTACCAGGTACTCTCATACTCTTTTCTACCAAGATAAAAATCATACATCTTGTTGATTGATTCAAATTATATTTTGAAATTGCTGATGAGAACATGCTAACTAGATAGAACATCCAGGATTGAAATTGCTGATGAGACTTCTCATACTCTCATTGTTTTTTATAAAACAACTGAAATAATTGGTGCTTCATAACATGATTTTAGACAACATAAAAAACAATTGGAAAAGCTTCCAATAACATGATTTGAAATAGCTTCAATTTCTCATACTCTCCCCTGATCATTGTTTTTTTTTTCGAGAATTGAAATTGATTAATTTTTCCATTGTGTCAGTTTATTTTCTACTAATCATGTGTCTTTTGAGTTTTCAAAACATATTGAGTAAATTGACAATATTTCATTATCTTGACCAACTTATGATGTGATAATAGTTAATTGGTGAAAGTTGCATTATCTTTCTCTCTCCCTCTCTCTCTCTCTTAATAAGAAATAACCATCAGTCTAATTGTTCGTGATTTTTCTAATTTTCCTAAAATCTATTCCACTCTTTTGGTGACTATTGAATATTTTTCAAGCTTCTTTATTTCTTATCTAATTCGTTTGCTATAATATTTTCTTCTCTTGTTTTTGTTCTAGCTCAATAGATAGTGTTTAATATCAAAAAACACATTTTAAATCAATATTATAATTTTTTAATTACTAATTTGACTTTATTGATATTAGTTATTATGCACATAATTTTTTTTGAGCATTTCATACACATTTAATTATTATATTAAGAATTATATAAAAGTTTCATAAAGTCTCAAAAAGTTTACATTGAAAGTCTTAAAAAGTCTCCATATCAATCTCACAAAATCCACAAAAGTCATTAAAAGTTGTATAAAGTCCAAAAAAGTTATTCACTTTAAAAAGTCTCTAAAAGTTCTAATTGAATACACCCCTAAAATTCGAGTGTTAATTTTATTGCCTCAAAAAACTTCTTTTAAAACCCATATAAATATAAGTCAGAATACAAAATCATAAAATCTATGTAATATAAAAAAGTTTGACATTTACCTGAAATAGAAACTAAAATCCCACCTAAAATTTCAGAATTACTAAATTGAGTAATTTTTTTTATTTTTTTTTTTTTAAATTTCAAAATATCCCTCCTAAATGTGTTT